ACATGTATATGCATCATAAAATGAAAGTGGTGATAATAAGATGCAATATATAAATCTTTTAAAACAGCAGATAATAACTCAAGATGTATAAAATACAATAAGAAACTTTTTACTCTTATTTGGGAGATTTTCTAACCGACAACCATCATTATGAGCTATGTGATGTTCTCACCCACACTGACAAAAATTTCCTATACCTTTTCGGGATATAGAACACCTCAACTAAGTGGATCCACTAAGATCTGCCCGAAGGCACTAAGGATTCATCTAAAAAGTATGATCCTTTACCCATGCTGGCATACATGGTTTATGAGGATTTTGAGTTATTTGAACTCATCCTCATATCGGTGATCAATACTACTCCCAATAATATATATATATATATACACACACACTCGTGCTCTTATGTTTAAAAACAAAACTCTTCCTCAATTTGAGATAATTACTCAAAAGTTCCTCTTAAAAGAGGAAATGCTCAAAACTCCTCATAAGCTCATATAGAAAACAATATTTCTCCCATTTTAAAATGTAAAAATATTACACTTGGGAATAATTAGTTTCCTTCAACTTTACTCAAAATTGTCTCTTTAAACTATTCCTCAAAACTCAGCTTAAAACACAATGAATGACTTTCAAAGACTCATCAAGACTTGTAACTCAAAATAGGGTTCATGCCGAAATATTGATATGAACGAACCAACTCGAGGATCTCAATAACCATATAGAAAACTCAATACCCAGAACTCAAAAACTCAAAACTCAGCGATACTACTCATCTCAAAAATACTCAACTCATAGGGTTCATGCAAAATTATGGACATGAACGACTCAACTCAAGGATCTCAATAACAATATAGAAACTCATGAATACCACTCTTCTCATTCTCGTCTAACTTTCTCAAGATTTAATCAAAACTATAATTGATTTCGAAAGAGTTCTCAATTTGACTCAAAAGCCCTCGTGAACTTTCCTCTTAATTTTACCTTGATTTGAAATGTGAATTTAAGAGCTATGATTAGGATATAAGATCTTTAATGAAGGCTTAGATAGTTAGGAATAAGAAGAGAGTGAAGACACGGTTTGAAGAAGCACTGGCGCGACACGGAGATAAAATTAAATATTTGGTTGCAAAATAAATTTCAAGACAGAAGACTATCTGAAGATTGAAATTTTAAAATGCCTCTGCGATGCGGAACTGGGCGTATATTTTTGTCTGATCTTTTCTTTCTCTCCCGAACTCGATTCAATTCACACCCAATGCAATTTCATTGCCCAATTTCACAAAATTTCATAAACCTAGAACGTTTTCAATGAAACCCACACAAAATCCATCAAGAACAACACTCATTCGCACAGACCCTCACCTCAAGAACTCAACAAGACTCCATTATTAAAGAATGAAGCTAAAATCTCAAGAATTTCATCAAGAATCTCAATCAATCAAATTTAAGATCAAATTTATGGATGAAATTGCATGATTGGCATGAGAGCGAACAAAGCTAACACTGTGAAAACTTACATACATAGAAGAAATGTTCTTGAAGAAACTTGAAGGAAAATCTTGGAAGACGAACCCTAGCCTTAGCGTTTCTTGAAGTTTCTTGAGTGTAGAAATTTAGGAGTGAATGAAAGGGTTTGATTATCAAAACTGATTTTTCTTCACGTTTAGGGTAATTTAGATGACCTTCTAAGGGATTTTAGGACTGAAATACCCTTAAAGAAATAAATAAAATGATTTGAAAGTCAAAATATTTTTCCAACAGACAGTGAGGTCCGTAATCACTCCGTAACGCAAAGCCATCGCGGAGCTTCTGCCAGGTTAGAGTGTCTCTAGTAAATTAGTCATAACTCTTTACTCAGAACTCTAATTGAGGCAAACTTGGTGGCGTTGGAAATAGGACTGGAAGACCTTTAATTTTATACGTCATGGACAACCTAAATCTTTATGTGCTAAAGATATGGTCATTTGAAGTTGACCCAAAACTTAAGAAAATTGACGGGTGACTTGAACGAATTTCTCTTTAGTTCTTTTTCAAACTAGAGGTGTAACATCTAGTGACCTTAACACCTACGAAAATTTAAAATCACTCGGAAAAAAATATTATTCTCAACGAAGAATGGTTCGAGTCTTGACCTAGAAATTTTTGGGGTGTTACAAACAACCTTGACATGCAATGGTGTACATCTTGTAATCGTCTTAGATGGACTTGAATCATCTATTTTGATTTTGAAAACTGATAATTTGATAAGTAATGTGGGAATATTGAGAAAAAATAATCCAAAAACTAACGAGCATAATACATATACAATTGAAAAATGAGGAAAAAAGATTTTCACCCACGATTTAGGCGGTTACCTGCAAAAAGTAAAACACGACTAGAGGGAGAAAGTGAAATTTGAATTTCAAATTGGAAGTGAAAGAGTGATTTTAGGAGACAAATCTGGAATGTGAAGAGGTGAGATTAATTTGATTTTGTATAAAATCATTCACAATGGCCGATTAAATCTTTGTTGGTTCGGTATACAAAGAGGTGGTGGGTCCCATTATTATTGGCAAAAAAACTGAAACTATATTTACTGACAATAAATAAAATAAACTATACTCTCATTGACTAATAACCTAATAATATTTGCCAACTCGCGTAGTTTTTCCTTAATTTAGTATATTAATTTAAAGCTTGTTTGACCAAACTTCCAAAATCTACTTATTCTTTAAAGTATTTTTATCGAATGAAGTTTGAGAAAAAAAACAATAAAATATCCTAATTATTCTTTCGCTAGTGTATTCATTATGTTTGAATTTGTTTGTGGTACAATTGTATGGTTGATCACTAAACCGGTGTCTTAGGCTAAGTGGTGAACTGTCATGACCCAAAAAACTGGTTCTTTGATGGCACCAACCCAACCTAATCAATAGGTAAGACAAACCTCAACAGTCAACACAAACAATTCATAAGATAAAAAAAAGTGTGGAAATTAAATACTAAAAGCGTAAGCAAGTCTGAAATAGATTCTTTCATAAATTAGTATGATCAATATTAAGACGCTGTTAATATCCCAAAACCTTATGACATAAATTCAAGCCTCTAAGAACTCAAAGTATGACAACATGACTACGTTGTTGGAGGATGAAAAAGATAGAAATAGAGCATAGTGATATGAATTTTGGATGTTGTGGAAATAGACAACAATACCTCTAAGATTTCTGAAACTATTAACAGCTATGAAGAATGACTTGCCACTCATACCGGGCTCATCACCTATACAACAAGGTTAAGAAAATGCAACGGTGAGTATGAAAATATGTATACTCTAGCATAGTCGATGGAAAGATTATGAGATATTTCACATTTTGGTTCAAGGTTATGGGTATAGAAGCACATCCAACATGAAGATTGAATTTCACGACTCACATCAATAGTATTATTGGAATAGAGAAGGATTAGAATCATCAAAACCACAAGGAGGAGGAGGATATGGTACATCAGCAAAAGTAGCTCATACTTCCTCTGTCCAATAATAGTTGTCCACTATTGACTTGACACATCCCTTAAGAAACTATAAATAGAAAAGTAATTTTACTATATCACCTTTTGAATATAATAAATACAATGTCTTGAAAAATGTGATAGAGAAACGACTATAATTAATGATAGGGATAAATTAGAAACTAAGTATAAAATTATCATTTCATAAAATGGACAAATATTATTGGACATCTTAAAATAGTGTAGTGAATAACTATTGTTGAATGTGGGAGTATAATATCTGACTCATTCCCAATGACTGCCCCCCTAGCGGACATTATCAATTTCAATGCACATTGTTGATAGGGACATAAGTATATCTATATACTCCCTCTTTCATTTTGTTTTGGGAAGATGAACTGTCATGATCCATGAATTCTTAACAAGTTCTAATATCATATGACTAAATACATTGAACCTTGTACTTATCAGGAATATATGTGCTTTGATTTCTCCACTAACAAATCACATTTAGCTGTTTTGATTAATGTATGCTAATTACATTAATTAAAGCACTTTTCGTGACAGAGTTGAGTGGCGAAATCAAGATTTTCATTAAAAGAGTTCAAAATATGAAGAATTAACCACACAGAGAAGTTGAAAGGGGTGATTTCCAACAATATATACATAAAAAATAATTTTAACCATGTACAAATAATATAATTTTCCATTGAAGGGGTTCAAATGAACCCATGAGTCCTTAATAGCTCCGCCGCTTACTCAGCTCTGCATATCTCTTTTTTGTTTCTTTCTGATTATATCTCTCTTATTATTACTCCCTTTAGTCCATATTAAGAGAATTGTTTAGGATATGATACATCTGTTAAGAAAAATGTTCAAGACATAAATTAAAGGCTACTTTCCACTATTATTCTTTTGATAATTGTCAAATTTTTCTCCTAAAAATTGTAAAGTAGTTAAGAACCTCATTAACTGAAGAGTACATATGGAAAGAAATTCCAATAATTTTCTTGAACTTTAAATAATTTACTTACTCCCTCCGTCCAACAATACTTCTCCACTATTACTAAAAATAGATTTCCAAGTTCCAACAATACTTGTCTACTTTATGAAATTCATAGATAATTTTATACTTAATTCCTAATTTACCCTTATCATTAATTATAGTCATTTCCCTATTACATTTTTTAAGACATTGTATGTATTATATTTAAAGGAGTGTACCAAATCTATTGGACAGAGGGAGTATTTTGAATTATGATCAGTAGAGGGAGTAGTAGAAATCAAAGAATATTGTCTTTGCTTGCCAGTATGCATCGGCCTTTGTGATATTACGATTATCAGTATTTAGAACATATCAATAGTTTATGGATCAAAACTGTTTAATCTTCCCAAGAAAGAGTTCTATCTCTATATATACACACATTTTCACACCACAACATAAGAGAAAAAATAGTGATGTACATTGCTGACAAAACTCAAAATGTCCGCGGAGGGGTAAGCCAGTACGAATGAATCAGTTTCTAAGAGCTGCTTTTGTTGATGCCTTAGATAATCCTATTCGTGACGATACCTTAAATCACTTCAGCCATTGTCATCTGGTGCAGCATTGTCACTTGAGTGGAATCAAGTGCAACTTTTGCAATGTCACAATCTACGCTCAAGGTTACGCTTGCCTACGTTGTGATTATTCTATTCATGATTTGTGCAGTAATTTCCCTAGACTATGACCACACTCTTGTTCTAAAGCCCTTTCAGTTGGCCAATGACGATGAGGAGTTTCATTGTGCGGCTTGTGGCGTTGATGATTCTGAACTTTATCTGTTTCAATCATACTATTGCTGCAATTCGTGTACTTTCAATCTTCATGTTGAATGTGCTTCTATACCAACAACTTTGAACCTGAAAGTGAAATACCCTCTTCATTTGTTCTTTTCATTACCAATGAACCGTGAGGCTGCTTCACTCTCTTGCTCAATTTGTACTAAAGTTGTTCCCACTTTGGGTTGTTGGGTATTTTACAACCATGATCATGTTTACCTTTGTCACTTCGACTGCGCTGCAATTGTAGAATTCTCAATGGAAACTAATTCATTGGGACAACTTCAGAACCGGCTACAAACTCTGGCTATTACAAGTCATCCTCTAGCTCGTGCAAATCAGCCGAGTGGGAGAGTCATGCATTTCACTCACCACCATTCTCTCAAGGAATATGGTTCATCCAATTCTGAGATGCAGCTTGTGCAACTTTTCTTTCAGGAAGGGGTACATTTGTGTTGGTTGCAATTACTTTATCGACAATATTTGCTTCTCACTTTATTAGATATTTTCTATAAGTCTATTATCGGTCAGGGGAGTTAGTTAGAGAGCAGTTTAGTCATTTACTTTCCAAGTTGATGTAGGTCGGTCATTAGTCTGTTACAGAGTCTATATATATGTTTTATACATTGATTGTAGAAGACCACAAATAATAGAATTCTAATAATATAGTTTCCATCTCTTCATGATGTGAGCAGATCGTTGAATGTTACGTTGAATGCTATGAGTAGTTATGATTGTTTCTCTCAACTCTATTATGGTATCAGAGCAGAGATCGCAAACTATTTGATTTTCGTCCGTAGAACATAGCAGTCTCGTAAGCTGAGCTTCGAGATAAATCATTTGTCACGCCCCGAGCTACCCCCGAGATGCGGACACGGGACCTAGGACCACCAGTGATCCCAAGCTAACCCTGCTGGCATGATCATGAGCATACTAAAGATAATAAACTGATGCAGAAGCTAATTCATAAATAAATCTGAAAAGATGGGGAATACCCATATACTATAACTGAATATATCAAATCTGAGAGTTTAATACAAAAGAAATATCAAACTCAAGATACTAAGCTGAATCTAACTATGTCTGAAATAAGTCTCTAAACTGACTAGAAGTGCTGGGACATGCCCCAGCTAAGTCTAAAAAATCTGAAACTAAAAGACTGAAAGCGATAAAGATAAACATGTCACTAGTCCTCGAAGAATGAGGACTCACCACTGATGTTGCTGAACTAAAGATCGAGAACCGATCTAAGCGTGATCTGGATGCTGAGAACCTGAACCTACATCACGAGAAGATGTAGCACACGTATGCGTCAGTACTTGAAAGGTACTGAGCATGCAGGATAGAGTAAAGCTGAAATAACATATAACTGAACAAAGCAATAAAGCAATTAAATAATATGGACATGATATAGATACTGGAAATACTGAATACTAAGCTAACTGATGCAATGAATACTGAGCTAACTGATGCAATGACCAAATTTATAACATGCTGAGACTGAATACTGACTGTACTAAAATATGGTCAATGCAAAAGAGTCTGACTGAACTGTGGGAGCTACTAATAACCGACATAAAACCACATAAGCTAAATGTGGAGTCCGATGTATACGCCCCATCGAGAGGACCCAATATACCCTGCCAGAGGTATAGAGGCATGCTGGCGTGATCACTAAACTGATGTTGCCCATAGAGGGGACCCAATATACCCTTCTTGAATTAGGGTTCTTGACCTTTTTCTCCTCTCTTGATTCTAATTTTCTATGTTTTGATTAATGATTTTGACTAAGGTAAGTTCTAGTTATGTTTCTAAGCTTAAACTGACTAAAACCTCATGATTTAGGGTTTAAACGACGTATCTTAAGGGTTAAACGAAATAGGAAAAGACCAAAAGACCCCTGACTTAACTGCTGCCGGAGTGATCAACGGATTGGACTGACGGGCCGTCATTTAATCGACGGTCCGTCGATTGGATCCGTAGGTCAAGTCTGCCCGACAGGGCTTCACTAAAATAAGCATAACGTTTTACTCGAATGTCGGAATTTAGCAAACTCGGTGGCGTTGAAAAGATAATTCAATTATATATCTAACCATAGGTCATGGGACACATAATTCATTTTGTGCTAAGAGTTATGACCATCTGAAGTTGACTAAACCACAATTTTCATCTAACTGATTATTGACCCTCACTTACGGTCATACCTACGAACCGTGCATCGAATGATGGTCTATGCTAGTCGACCGTAGTTTGTGTCAGAAGCTGGGTAAGGAAGTCTCGATCCACGGACACAGACCACGGACCGTGGTCTGATCTACGGACCGTGGCTCTGTCCGTGAGTCGGGACTTAGCCAATTTTATGAGCTGGTTTGGGGAGTGGTTGCAGTGGTGAATCACGGACCACCAGCACGGGCTGTGGTCTGACCTACGGTCCGTGGATAGTGACCGTAAGTTGCACCTGCAACTTCTCAAAATCTGCATTTTTGGTCTGTTTCGGATACGGGGTGTTACATTATCTCTCCCTTGGGACCATTCGTCCTCAAATGAAGTCTAATCTAGTTGAAATGTAGGGAGAGGGCAGCAATCCCTACCACTAAACACTGAGAACTGAATTTCTGACTGAACTGAGTTCCAACGACATGCAAATACGCTGAAAATGTAAGTACAAACTGAAGGAACATGATTCTAAGACTGAATTTATGCATGAATGACTGAAAAACTAATGAGGAACTATTACCTCAAGCTGGATTGGAATCGGAAGGAAAGAGGTGAGGATACTTGGACTTCATGGCTGCTTCTGCTTCCCAAGTAGCTCCCTCAACTGGCTGACTCCTCCACAAAACCTTCATTGAAGCGACTTATTTGTTTCTCAACCTTCTAACCTGACGATCGAGAATCCTAACTGGTACATCCTCATATAAAAGGCTATCTTTCACGGCCACACTCTCTAATGGCACTATAGATACTGGATCACACTTCTTCAAAAGAGAAATGTGAAAGACTGGATGTACTACTGTTAAGTCTGCTGGCAACTCTAACTCATAAGCCACTTTACCAATCCTTTTCAAGATCCGGTAAGGGCCTACATATCTGGGACTGAGCTTTCCTTTCTTGTCAAATCTCATCACCCCTTCATGGGTGACACTTTCAGGAAAATCCAATCATCAACTTGGAACTCTAGTTCCCTTCTTCTCACATCTGCATAAGACTTCTGGCGACTTTGGGCAGTCTTAAGTCTATCTCTAATGAGTTGCACTTTCTCCGCAGCATCAATGACTGAATCTGGTCCTATCAAGGCTGCTTCACCTACTTCAAACCAACCAACTGGAGATCTAAACCTACGCCCATACAATGCCTCATAAGGGGCCATTTGAATGCTGGAATGATAACTATTGTTGTAGGCGAACTCAATAAGGGGAAGGTGATCATCCCAGCTACCCTTGAAGTCGATCACACAAGCTCTCAACATGTCCTCTAAGGTCTGAATGGTACGCTCTGCCTGACCATCCATTTGTGGATGAAATGTTGTGTTAAGGTTAACCTGAGTACCAAGACCCTTTTGAAATGACTTCCAGAAATGAGAGGTAAACTGAGAACCTCTATCTGAGATGATAGACAAAGGAACCCTATGCAACCTCACAATCTCATTAATGTAAAGCTTGGTATAATCCTCCGCCAAATCTGTAGTCTTGACCGCCAAAAAGCGAGAAGACTTAGTAACCCTATCAACAATCACCCAAATGGAGTCATGTTGTCTGCGAGTACGAGGTAAACCTGTGATGAAGTCCATATTGATCACTTCCCACTTCCAAGTAGGAATGTCAATCTCTTGAGTCATACATCCTGGTTTTTGATGTTCTACCTTGACTTGCTGGCAATTGGGGCACTTAGCCACAAAATCTGCTATATCTCTTTTCATACCATTCCACCAATAGACTTCCCGCAGATCACAGTACATCTTAGTGGATCCTGGATGAATAGAATATCTGGAATTGTGGGCTTCTGCGAGAATATGTTGTCTCAATTCACCCACATTAAGAACACACAATCTACCTTGATAGCGAAGTACACCATCTCCCCCTTGGGAGAAAACCTCCACTCTCTGATTTGGACTGCACCCTTAAGTTCAAGCAAGATTGGATCACTATCTTGCTTTTCCTTAACCTCTACTACCAAAGAAGATTCTGCCCCATTCTGAACCGTTACACCACCATCTGATATGCTCATAAGGCGAACTCCTAGGCGAGCAAGTCTGTGAACATCCTTTGCTAGCTCTCTCACTTCTTCATCAACATGTGCTACACTACCCATGGATAATCTGCTAAGAGCATCTGCTACTACATTCGCCTTACCCGGATGGTAATGCACACTCATATCATAATCTTTGAGGAACTCAAGCCACCTTCTCTAGCGAAGATTCAACTCTTTCTGGGTGAATACATACTGAAGGCTCTTATGGTCTGTGAACACATCTACATGAACACATACAAGTAATGTCTCCAAATCTTGAGTGCAAACACCACTGCTACAAGCTCGAGGTCATGAGTTGGATAATTCTTCTCATGTACCTTAAGTTGTCAGGAAGCATAAGCTATAACCTTACCTCGCTGCATCAACACACAACCTAGGCCGACTCTGGATGCATCACAATAGATCACATAACCATCTGAACCCTCTGGTAGAGTCAAGACAGAAGTTGTAGTCAACCTAGTTTTCAATTCTGCGAAGCTTTTCTCACAATCATCTGACCACTGGAACTTAACATTTTTCTGAGTTAACTTAGTCAATGTAGAGGCTATGGATGAAAATCCTTCCACAAACCGTCTGTAATAGCCCGCTAGACCCAAGAGACTTCTGATATCTGTAGCAGAGGTAGGTCTGGGCCATTGTTTCACTGCTTCTATCTTCTGGGAATCTACTCGAATTCCTTCACTAGACACAATATGCCCAAGGAAGGCAACTGATTGTAACCAAAACTCGCACTTGTTAAATTTTGCAAATAACTGGCGATCTTTGAGAGTTTGCAGAACAACTCTCAAATGATTTGCATGTTCTTCCTCATTCCTAGAGTAAATGAGGATATCATTAATAAAGACGATAACGAACAAGTGCAAGTACTGCTTGAACACTCTATTCATCAAATCCATGAAAGCTGCAGGAGCATTGGTTAGTCCAAATGACATAACTACAAATTCTTAATGACCATACCAAGTTCTGAAGGCTGTCTTCGAAATGTTACTATCTCTGACTCTAAGTTGATGATAACCTGATCTGAGGTCTATTTTGAGAAATGACTAGCACCCTGAAGTTGGTCAAACAAGACATCAATCCTGGGGATATGATACTTATTCTTGATTGTGACCTTGTTCAACTGCCTATAGTCAATGCACATTCTGAGAGAACCATCTTTCTTCTTTACGAACAACACTGGTGCACCCCATGGCGAAATACTAGGTCTGATGAAGCCCTTATCTAGAAGGTCTTTCAACTGCTTTTCAATTCCTTAAGCTCAGCTGCCATTCTGTAAGGAGGAATAGAGA